CCCTGGGCTACCGCCTCCCTTTGTTATTGTGCAGAGCAGGGGAGACTATGTGGTCAGAGCACAACACAGATTATTAGCCCAAATTAAAGAATTTATTTAACTATTTATACAGTTATGGAGCACACACACACTGTAGGAGTAAGCACACACTATGAACCAACAAGACCTAAATCAACAGGGGTTAAACGCGATCCTCTTTCCCCACACACAATACTCTCTACCTCTGGAGGTTGTGGGGTCACCTGTACTTCAGCCTCTCTCTCTTGCCCAAGAGAGCAGAGAAACTTCCATTCATTCCCCAGTCCAGCCGACTGTGGAGTGGCTGAAGTTCTGCTGCTCCCAGGGACAAAGACTGCCTTGGGACAGTTCCTGTTTTCCCATACTTTTTGACCTTGAGGCATCTGGGAACTGTAGGCCAGCAGATGAGGAAACCCCATTCAATCCAGTGAGTGATACCCTCACTGGCCCCTCTCTGGAACTACAGCTCAATTAAACCTGATGGGGGAACATTTTAAACAAAGAACCACAGCCATCTTACAAACACAGGAAACTGCCATTTCGTGACACCTACCAACAGCCACTGAGGGGAAAGTTAATCCTGTTAAGTCGCTCGCTTAACAAAGCAGTCGGAGAGTGATTCAGCAAGAACACAACTTTATTCTTCAACTCAAACACAACTCCAACACGGATCAACATCTGATAGCCAGAACAGCCTTTACATTGCAGCTGTCCTGCTTTTAACAATTTCCGGCTAATGTAGCCACACCCACTGTACAAATATCAACCTATGAGGTTGCAGAGATAAGGTCCAATCACATTAGTTCCCGCTCAGGAAGCTTGCTTGAAGTGATTGGCTTGTTACTTCCCGGCGCTGCAATACTATTGGATGGATTTGGATCCTAGCCCAGGACGAAGCTTAACATTCAGTTAGATGTTTCACAACATGTCATGCATTCAAGGCAGCTTTGAATACACTACAAATCCCACACAGGAAAAGTGTCTTCGTCAAGAGAGAAAGCCGTTTGCCAGTAATTCTGACCGAGCTCAGTGGCCGAAGAGGGAGTGGACGGGGAAGAGGAGCAGACTCAGCACCCGGCCAATGGCACATGAGTACTCTTGAGTGGCAGCTAACAGGGAAATGGCTGAGGGAGAGCATGGAATTTTGCCACCCCAAAACACGATTATTATATAGGAGAGATTACCCTACCTCACCTTAGAATAGATCTATTCCCTAAATTCCTGTAGAAACTAGGCACCACATTATTTGGGGAGAGGTGGACATTTGGCACTTATAGCTTTGAAATATACAAACCTATTAACATACAAGAATCTAGTCTGCTACTAGATTTGAAAATTGTCTAAATTAATAAAGATAAATGTAGTGACGATGGCATATATCCTACCATCAGGGTCAATAAAATCTGAAGCCTTCTTCAACATAACATTCCTTAGGCCAGAGGAAGACTTCAGACATTGTTAAGTGGACTGGTATGATGCATGTCAGCACTTTTACGAAAAAATAGATTAAAACTCAGTTTTAATAGAACCATATTTGTCAAATGTCACACAAAATAGTGTTTCACTGTAATTACCTTATCCTTTTGCCCAAGAGCAATCCAGCCAGATAGCTCATCCTTTAGATCTTGTTCATATTTCCTTGCATCTGCCTTTTTAATTGTTATTTTGTTCTTGAAGCAAATATATTCCTCAGGCTCCAATTCCTTGAAATCACAAGCCATTATGAAATCAGAAAACTTAATTTTCTTGTCGTGGAAGAATACTGCATAATATAAATTATACATACATGTGCTCTGGGCCATTCTGGCCAATTATTTAGCATTGCATCAAACAGCTGGATGCTCTCTCGTGGAGAAAAAGCAATGTCCAAAGGAATTCCATATTTCTCAATCTATAGGCACATTAAGAGAAATCTAGATTATGACAGAATTTTCTCACCACAATATTCCTTATCCCTTATATGAAATTACACTTACATGTTTGAGGACCCAGGGGATAGAGGGGAAGGCAGACGAGAAGTGATAGATCAGCCACCAGATATGTTGCAGAAACAAAGGCCACAGCTTTACTGCATACAGTACAGGAGCATTGGCATAGCATGGGAATGGGTCTTGAATCAGGCAACATGCCTGCTGCCTGATAATCCCCACACCCCAACCACAAGAGCGCTGGCTGCTGCATAGTTTCCTTGCCACCTGGTGGTAAGAGCCCCAGCAACAGCACTCAAGCTGGGCATGCCATTGTTTTGGCTCCACCCCAAGACCCCTCAAGGGAGTCCCCAGAATGTGGGATGTGGGCATACAGGCGCTGCACAATACTTCCTTATGTAATTACACTTACGTGTTTGACTGTTAATGCAGCACATGGGTGATAGTGATCTAACACGACATCATTATCCTTCAGGGAGCAAACATGCTTTTCTAAATCATTGTATCTCTCTCCATACAGCACTGCAAAAATGAAAGGGAACATTACAATATCCTTAAAGATTTAAGGAGCCAAGACCAAGCTTTAAATCATTCTTATGCTTACCTAATCTAACTCGATATGATTTCTTCTCTGCCAGTTGTTTTTGCAGCTTCCTAGTGCACCTTGTGAAACTTGCAGAAGTAGTACTTTCATCCATTGCACTCTCAGTCTCTTGCCAATAATTTTTGACTGACTGTAACCATCTACAGGACAAAAATGAAACAAAAACTGCTTCTGAATACAAAAGATTTAAAACAGAGAAATCCATTTCCACTTAAGTGCAGTTACCCATGCATTGAAATAGGTTAAGCTTGGGGAAGCTTGGAGACTATTTAAAACTACAATCCTAGAAGCTCAGAAAAAATATATACCGCAGGTTAGGAAAGGCACAAATAGGTATAGAAAAAAGCCTGCATGGTTAACAAAGAAAGTAATGGAAGCTGTAAAAGGTAAAAAGGTTTCCTTTAAGCAGTGGAACTTCCTTCAAATACATTAGAAGCAGGAAACCAGCCAGAGAGGCAGTGGGGCCCTTGGATGAGCAAGGGGTAAAAGGAGTACTGAAGGATGATAGAGAAATGGCTGAGAAGCTGAATGCATGTTTTGCCTCTGTCTTCACTGTAGAAGATGAGAAGTGCTTGCCCACTCCAGAACCGATGATTTCG